TCCTTGCGCTGCTGAATAAATCCCAACAGTGTGTGTGTGTGTCTCATTTCTTTTATGATCTTAGCTGGCAAGTCTGACAAGTTGCGATTTGCTTGGTTTCACTCCGCGTCCGTCATCCCTCTATTTGTCTTCGACTTCCTGAAACTATCATCCCGGGCAACTTCCCCCGAAGATATTCATGTCAAGAAACTTCTCAGGCCATTTGTGCACGATTCATGCCATCTATAATTATATTTTTACTGTTTCTGTCATTACACTTCGTCAAATTCATTTTATTGTGACAATCTCCTTTCACGAACATCCCCTCATCGCGTGGAGCAGAAGTTAAGGCGAAGTGGACAATAAAAGAGATGAGAATGTACTCTGTTTTGGTGCACAAAAGGGTGGATGCTTAATCGAGTACGATACGGAGGATCCGGTGTCGAAGGGGGTGTGGAAGAGGAGAGAAATACTTGCTTTTCTCTTAATAAACTAATCACATTAATTAACCCTTTGGCCGTCTCTGGAAATCGCTCTATTCTTCTCCAGAGCGCCGCAGGATCTCAGCAAATACGACGACTTCATCACAATGACTTATTTACTCTTCTACAGTCACTTCTTTCACGGGGAGCTGCTGAAAATAAATTTCTTGTCATTTGTTATTTTTTAATCAAACACCAAAAATATCCCCTGTCCGTTGATGCTACCTCGAAGCGCCCTACATTAATGCGCCATTCCGAGAGTCAGAGCAAATACTCAGGGGTCCTCCGCCCAGTTTCACTTGAGAGATTAATATCTCTATTACAAAGTTTTATTTTCATTTCACAGAGACCGGTCAGTTGCACGGTGTTTGTACATTTTCGAGGGTATATGTGCTTTTATCTGATTAAATGTGCACCGCACACAGTCGGCAAAACCTGAAGGAGAAGTCCCTTTTTGGCTGCAAATGAAAAGGGCGCGCATATCTTGTGAAATTAAAATCATAGCCAATATATGCGAGTGGATTCTTTCCACTGCGCCTCTCTCGTCAACATGCAATAAAATGTGGCGAAATCCATGCAGCCGAGAGACATATAAAAATGTTACGATGTCACATTTCGGGGTTGATTGACAATGGGAGTCATATTTTCGTCATGGAATTAATAACGCACTGCCGAAAAAGTGTCACCGCAAAGACATTTCTTCTGCGGGAAACGCATCCAAATTGCCTCGGCGGGATGGGAACTAAAGCAATAAAGTCTCGGCCTAATATCAATTTGGTATAGGATTTTTATTGCACGCCAAAATGACAATGTGAAGATTTACTGGACTTAAAATGTGAGCATGAAATCTGATATCTTGTCCAGTGAATCCCTTTTCGGGGGCCAATTAGAAAATTCTCAGGCAAATTTCCACTCCTAATTGGCCGCTCCATTATTCCATTTTACCACTTTCTCCGAAATAATCTCTACTCATCTGTAACACAATCGCGCTTTCAGTCTTCGCGCGGTCAGTTGAATTGTAATGGATGAGAAGGGGTTGAATATAATGAGATTCCGTAGGCACGAAGATCCTGTTTCTCGGACAAATACCGGAGGGAAACCCTCCATTAACTTTGAGCAGCAATATTCGTGTTTATTTACTTGAGCGTAATCTCGTCAGGAGTTATGGTTATATTTCCGTGAATTTTGCGCTAAAAGTTGAACACGCCGTTTTATTAATAATTCCGAAATGTGGCTTATTAGTTTGCGAGGCCCTCCTTCGATGCGCTACAATAGCGAAATCCCTTAATCCAAATCCCAATCCATCGGGAGGTCTGAAGGATTTTGGCCCGAAATTACAGAAACGCCACTCAAAGAGGGAATTCTGCGGTGGCTGAAGGAGTGTTTTCAAGTGGCATGACAACCCCTCAAATTGGCAGTCAAACAGTGTGTCGCAAAAATAAGAAATAACACATCTTGTGCCCTCAATTCCTTTGTCATCCGTCCCCGGCGATCCCACTTAATTACACGGAAAGAGGAGAAATCACCCATCCGGACCAGAAAAGTTTTATGTGCCACGCTAGGGCGGCTCCTAATGCACTTTCGCGGCAGGGTTTTATTTTTCCAAATTGTTTGCGCTGCACGTCTTGAGCCCACCGTTTGGGAAAAAGGAAGGCATCCGCAAAATTCCGTTTCACAGAATCTCATCGAGATAATTCTTATGTGATTTTCTCTTAATTCTGTTGCAAAGCATTGATGGTGAACAAAGGATCCTTTCTTCATCCGCTCCTCACATTGAGCATTAATACAGGTATTTCAGTTTCACGCTGTATGTTTTTCGACACTCAATGGCAGTGCATTCAACCCTCTTCGAATGTGTGTCGAAGGAGAATCAAACCCGCGGTTCGCTTGTAGCGACATTCTCTATACAACACTGTAGAGACACAAAAGATGTCAACGATTGATACATTTTTTTTTCTTCTCCTCGGCAATTGTGCTGCTCACAAGAGACTTCTTCTATTATTGTTAATATGGCATAAATACGTAACAACTTTTGCCATCCCCTTTACTTCGGTGTGTCTTCTTTGTGAGGTACTCGAAGTTGAAAAACACACGCGGGGAGATTCTGGGAATTGCGCAGAGGGAATTAAAACATGGAATAGAGTCGCAACGACACTGAAGACGCCGAGGATCTATTCCGTTTGATTGCCAAATCATAAGGGGATGATCTGGAATTTATTAAAATTTCCCATCAAATGAACCGAAATGAATCCTGCCAGTATTTGCATAGGGTGCTCATCCTCAACCAGCACAACTTTATCTCCTTGCCAGTGTCTTGAAAATAATGCACTTTCTGATTTATGCCCCAAATCGACACACATGTGAATTACTGAGGTGAAAATTTACTGAAGATTGCGCTTATAAATCAACTTTCTTTTGTCTAATCTAGCTGAGAAACTGCTTTAATTTCACATGGAGACTTATCTTGAAATGATTCACTCCCAGTGTTCTCTAATAACAGTGACGGTATCTCTCGAGGCGTTGGGAGAAGAAGAGATGAAGATGTGTGAAGAACTCTTGAGAGCAGCACTCGATGAGTGTCCTTCAGGACCTCTGCGCTCACCCTGAGATGCCCGAGAATCTCCGCCGAGCTGCCACTGTTCCATCATTTCTGGTGATTTGAGGTGTTCGTGGAGGGTCGATCGGGTCATTAGAGTGTCACCACTCTCTCGAGCATGTCCCTGAGAGCTCCTTCAATGCGAAGGGGTCGCGCGGTGAACTCAAATCGAATGTGACGGAGCGGTCTCTACCTGAGCTCTCCTTGTTCCGGTTTCTCCTGTCAGTACATTATTCTGCAGTTTGCGCTCTCATCCTGACAATTTGGTGACAAAGTCGGCTTCGTCATCAGTTTGAGCGGTATTATTCACGCTCAATTTACCCCGATGTTTGCCCGCTTTTTATGTTATTGCTTATACTTGAGGCGCGGAAGTGTAATCCTTCAAGGGTTAAATGAGGTGATATATTGACAATTTCACTTTAATGACAATTGTCTCCACACACTTTGAAGCCACGCACGACCTTCGCCTTGCCTCAAATCGAGGCGAAGCCATCAAATGGGGTTCCAATCATCAACTTTATGACTTCATACGGGCGATAGGCAAACATTTAATGGATCCTCTCGCACTCAACTTCAAAGATTCCGGACTCACGGGGTGTTGTTGTGACGACAATTGTGGCCAAATAGGGCTGTTGCCGGACAATGGCGTTTCATTTTGGTCGATTTGTGTGTTTGCCCAGGAGGAAACCTCTTCATGATACTTCAATCATGCCATCGACGCGGAGAAAGTAGATAAAATAGATTGGTGAAAATGCCTCTCGGCCAGGAACTCACGCTTCCCAGTGACCCCCTCGATATCAAACACACTCGGGCGTCGTCCTCGGTTACCACAGCAGCCACAGCTGTAACAATGCATCAACAAGCGGCCGCAAGAAGTCACCCGGAGGAAGGCTGTGCACATCATAAACACATGCTTACTTTAATCGCTGCGCCACGTTCTCAGATGGGACCCTTGCGAGATTGCGCTCTCAATTGAAACCGCGTCATCTCACCGGCGATAATTTCTCTGAATGGCGCGACATTTCACAGGAGCAGTTTACACACAGTTTGAAATTTATTATCATCTGAAAGGACCAGTGGCAATTCAAGGCATTCCAGCTGAAAAAGTCCATTCAATTTCCTCTACCTTCGCCACGATTTATGTGTGTCAACGTATTCCATCTTCTTTCACATCGCCCAGAGAAAAAAGACAGAGAGAGAGTGGAATAAATTAATTCATTTCTGCATTGTTGTGGCTTTTTAGCCTATATATGAAAGGAAAAGTGTTGTATGTACGGCTTTCATCGCGAAACTCCTTGCCATTTGCATGTGAATAGACACGTTTCTTTTCTCTCCGATGAGCACCGGCGAGATGTTAAGGGGTTGCGTGAAAAAAGCCACTGGGGGAAGGGATGCGTGTCGCTGTAACGAGATTCCTTAGCGCCGGATGCTGATCCCACGGAGGCGCGCAGGAGACCTTTGAGTCCCGGTGTCACCGCGATGGCCATTTCATGGTAATATCGGGATGACCAGGTTCACACGGCGCCGCAGCCACCCTTTCGCTGGACCAACCGGTGAAAGTGACGCGGCGTGGAAGAGCTGCTAAAGTTCACGACACCGGAGTCACACCGGGTCGATCCCAGTCCTGTGAATTTCCCACAAATTGCCCATCAATTGCAACTCTGCGCTCGCTGGGAAACATTGTGCGCGCTGAAATTCCGTTATCGAGCATCTCGGCAAAAAGCGACAGCCTCCAGGCGATGCAATTTGATTGCGACTCCCATCCGTGTGTAATAATCTTGGGTAATAAGCAAGTCCAATATGTCACAAAGGAGCGACGGTTTTTTCCCCACACAGCCAATAATGGTTTGGAAAAAAGGCACCGCCACAGAGGATATATTTGTTTAAAGGGTACAAATAACGCGGCAAATTGTGAATAAAGCGTTTTGACAATAAATGCGGTTCTAGGCAAATATTTATCCCGGGTAATTTATTGTTTCAAAACAATTTATTGGATTTTTTGTCCACCGGCACAAAATTAATACCATGAAAAAAAAAGAAACCGACGGCGTGCAGAGACTCGATGGGAACCTCTTTGGGGTTGTGTGCGGTGACATTTTTTTCGGGTCCTCTTTCTCCTCAAAGTGCATAAGATCGATGTTTTTGTTCTCCTCTGGTGGAAATCTAATTAGATGTGTCGAGTACAATGGGTGGTACGCCTGCAAAAAATCAACAATAGTCCCGAAGGCAGGAGAGAAACATTGAATGCGGTGAAAGATGTTTGGCTGCAGGAGAGTTCATTAGCCCCGCGCGGATGGGGTGCGAATGCCCTCAATCCGCCTGGATTGTCGACAGAATCCAGGGCATGTAAGTGTCCACGCGAGTGTAGACGCCGGGAATGCCGTCGGTGCCGCACTCGTTGAGCCCCAAACTGACCACGCCCGACGCCACCCACTTGCTCTCCCGCGTCGCGAAGTGCATCAGCGGGCTTCCGCTGTCGCCCGGGCAGGTGTCCTCGGACCTCATCCCGCCGGCGCACACCTGGCCCGGGCCCAGGATCAGCCGCGAGGGCCGGTAGACTTGGGAGCACTTGGAGATGTCAATGATGGGCAGGCGCACGTACAACTTCACCGGACTCGCCTGGAAGCCGCGCGTTTCGCGAACTGCAAGGCAAGGCGTGAGATGACAGTCACCAAACCTGTACTTTCAGTCACCTACACATGTCCGTCTTGCCCCAACCCGCCACCGCCAGCCGCTGGCCCGTCTGGATGCCGTGGGTGAGACCATTCATCGGCAGACAGATCGGCTGAATGAAGTCCGTGAAGTTTGTCGGCCTCGCGAGTTTGATGAGCGCAATATCGTGATACTTGGAGCGCGCGTCTGAGTCATATTCCGGATGAGGGATGATCTTCTGCACGTCAAAGTCCACAGCCGGATCGGCGCAGTCCAACTGATCGTCAATCTCCTGAATGCAATCCTCCACCGTGTCGGTGTTGTATTCGCCCAGGCGAACTTTTATTCTGCAATTGATCAAATTTCAAGCTAAATACAAAGTGTAATATTTGAACCAAATCATCATGAAAGCTTATTTTTAACAAGGCCAGTTTGTTCACATAAAACAAGTCTTTGTGCTACAAGGGGAAGATAATATGCCTGTAATCTGTACATCACTTCGTGACTCTTCTGAGTCTCTGTGCAGAATCATTAGCAGTTCAGAGACACTTCTGAACGCCTTCAGAGGCATTTTCCATCGCTTTTTCGACTGTTTCTCATGATCATTTCTAACTTATGACAACTTTTCTGCCTCAAGGAGCTTAAAGCCTTCAAATGCTTAGATTCTAGATTGAATGAGATAATCTTAAGTGTCTCAGGATTTGTTCATGGACTATTTTTGTATTCATTTCCTACGTTTGTCTTCAGAAATCACAGAACCTAGAAAAATAATCAAATTGATCTAGGTAAAAGCTTTTACAATGCGAATATTCGAAATATTTTAACACTTCCGTAAAGCTGTACACCACTTCCGATCATAATATCTGCCCCTTGTTGTGCCTGTCGAGTTATTATTATCTCTACAAATTATTTCACGTCGAATATGACAAGTTTCGGAAAAGCGTCTTTAGGTGAGAAACGGCTTAAATCACATGTGCATATTTATTTTTCATATAACTTTTCAGTTATTAGTTTTATGTCATTTATGTGCTCAAATAAGAATGATTTCTCTATTTATCCGGTTTGTTGTTGTGTCTATTTTACGAGTCTCTTAAGGCTCTTAACCACGTTAAGACAAAACTTTCATTCGCAGCTTCGCTCTTTTTCTAGGTCACATTCGAAAATTTATGTGAGGATGGACAAGTGGAAAAACCAAACAGCTTTGCCACTCAATTCAATGAGGCTGAGATACTCACAGGCTTCCTTTCGTCTCGGTGATTGGTCCTGTCACACAATGAGCCGCCGTTAAGACGTAATTGTGAGATATTAAACCTCCTCCGCAGCCAAATTGCGGCTTAGTGCTCGAACCTGCGAGGAAGGAATGAAATATTTAGGGTGAATTGCCTCAAAAATTGTCTGGCTTTTGGGCCGCCAAGTACTTGATCCATAAATAAGTAACGCCATCCACGGATAGTCATCGAGGCCAGCAATTTTTCCACCGATAATCTTATTCCCGAGTGAGTTTCCACATTCCTTGAGCGCGGGCAGTTCATCGCCGCCGAATCGAGTCTCGAAAGCCACTTTCACCGAGTGCGTTCTATCCTTCTTCTTGGATGGGTCACTCTCAATGCTGGGCTTTCTGAAAGATTGAGCACTGTGTGAATGAATCTGGGAGACAGTGAATGAATGTAAACATTCAAGGTATTTATGACGCCCCATTGATTATTCTCTCTCAATGTCTTACATTTATTGTCAGGCTTGGGGACCGGTTTACAAAGAAATTAACTCAAACATTTCAAGAAACAATATTGACTCTGGGCTCTTTGCATTTTCATTCTTGCCTCCGCGCTGCATCGGAATAAATCAAATGCACAAGAAGCTCAACTCGTCTCGCAAGCAATGGAAAAAAAATTGTGCGACTGTCTTTGGAATGTATTTTCAAGGAACATTTCCACTAGACCACTTTTGTATACATTGTATGCCTCGGCTGAGCACCCAATCGTCATACTCACTCGTAGTTTCGGTTGTCCGCCGTGCAGCACACAGAATCACTGTCATTGCAGGGAAGGTGCCTCAAGAAGTTCACCCTTTCGGCGTGCAACGGCCTCTGGTTGAGCAACTGCCGGTAGGCTTGGCAGTCGTTCGTGGGCCTGCACACACCCCTCTCACTCTCGTTGGGGATGTCACATTCTGTGAAATTCGATTCTGAAATTCGTCAGGTCACAACTTTATCTGGGCTATTAATAGGCGCGGCGGGGCTGATGGCAATTCACCTGAACTGATGAGTGGTATTTTTAGAGACACAAGAATGAGGAAAATGTACAAGAACTTCACTCTGTCTCCAAAGTAATCCCACATGTCTGAGCAACAGATTCATACTGATTTGTAGCGTCAACCTGAACCTCCACCAGACTGACCAATTTGCATAAGTGATGTTGTGTGGAGACACGAGTGACACCAACACACTCACTCTGGCCCCAACATAAAACCTGAGAGCCTCCGAGCTGAAGTCACAGCTGTTTTTTCCTACCAGAAGCTCAATAATTGAAAAAAAAAATGATGTGAGACACCCAAGGAAATTAACACAGTAATTAATGAGATACAGAATACATTTTCACACACTGCCGCGATTCCGGGCCATTGTAAAACTGTGTCGATCTAATCACTTCTAAATACTCATGCACTTGAGCTACGCCTTCCATCAAAAGACCGCGTAAATCTTAGGAAACGCGATAACAGCCGTTTCCCGCGCAAGGCAGTGCAGAATTTCTTCTCCGATAAAATTGGTCTTTTTCTGGGAAAGATCAAACACACTTTCATCAATCAATTTTATATCGATGCCAAAGAGTTTTTCTAAGAAAATTGCCTCTTTAAGTTAAATTTTAAATGAGATTATTTGGCAGATTTTTTTTTTAATTTCTTAACCAAGAACTTTAAAAAAAATAGTACAAGTATGAAAAGAAGTTTTTTGGATAAAATCACACACGAATACTTTTAAAATAGACTTTACAAACTAATATTTTTAGCTTCTCTAATAATTTTTTCATATTTCAGTTAAAAGTTTCAATAAATACCAAAATAATCAACTGTAATATCTACAAAATAATCATTATAGAGCAGTTTTTACCCTTTAATGTACGATTAAAAGCTGTTTGAGTTGAGCTGCATGAATTCTTTTTTAACTCGTTCTCCTGAAAATTAGTGATTTTGATTTTTCACAGTTTTCTATTCGCCCGTCGAATATTGCTATTATTATTATTGTGCTGATAAACATTGTTGCTTGAACTTCAATTCAATGAGAAGGAGGATTTTGGCATTTATTCAAGAAACGAGAATGATATTTTCTTTTCATTGCAAGACTGCGTGATTTATTATTCCACAAATACTATTTTTAGTCGTTTATAAATGATTTGGGAAATTTTTCAAAAATCATGGGATTTGCGGTGTGGAAATCGTTGGTACAATGGGAGGCTCCCAGTCGTCTGGAATTGGATCCGTAACTTCAACTTCTTCAGTCGTTGTCGTTGTCGTTTCAGTCGTCGTGGTCGTTGTTGTGGTTGTTGTTGTGGTGGTTGTTGGTGTTGGGAATGTGGGGTTGCTCGGCGGGCCCCAATCGGGTGGAAGGGTTTGAATTGGGGGTGTAATGGTTGGGTTCGGCGGAGGCGACCACCATGGCGGAGTAGTCGCGGTGATCGGAGGCGTCATGGTCGGATTCAGCGGCGGACGCCACTCTGTGCTTGTGATCGGCGGATCGAGGGTGGGCACCGGAGGAGGCGTCCAGATGGGCGGCAGAGAGGATTCCGTTGTGGTGGTGCCGTCTTCGGTCACCGGTGGATCCCAGGGCGTCTCCCAGGGAGTGTCAGTCCACGGCGGCGTGGGTGGAGTCCATGCTGGGCTGCTAACAGGCGGATCCCACGGGGTTTCCCAAGGATCCGTGACAGGAGGCAATGGTGGAATCCAAGAGACACTCTCAGCCTCACTCTCCACTGATCGGCTGCCCGCGAAGGCGATCAGAGCACTTAGAACACTCACAAAAAGGGCGAATGATGTCATTTTCGGCACAATACACAAAGGTGTCCCATAAAATTTAGATCCAACCACTTGCAGCACTGACCTGTAACTGCTGGAATGAACATGAGGAAAATGCCGTGAGAGTGAGTAGAAGGAAAGAAATCTTATCGCGTTATCTCAACTCAGAGATTTTATTCAATATTCCATCGTAAATCACTCAAATCTCTGGCTTATAAGAGGAATTTGGCTAAAACGTCTCACATTTGCAATTTCCAAGTGTCATATTTTATACCTAAATGCAAAATCTAATTTCGTAGCACTTATCAACTTGCGATTAGCATATCAGATAAGATTTAAGGTCTCATGTTATCTAGAATCCATGGCACAAAAGCTGACACTCTTGTGTACACTGAGGAGACTTCAATGCCACAGCCAGTGCCGAAGGAAACTATCCCTTCCGCTATCCAGAGGCCATTTTCGCGTGATATCAGAGGTCCACCGGAATCCCTAAAACACGAATCCTGGATGAAGTTTCCTCCTGCACACATTTGCAAGTCGAAAGACAGTTCAGTCTTCCGCGAATACTCTCTTTCGCATCTCTCTGCACTGACTATTGGCACGGTAACTTTCAATTTTACTGAATTTCGCTGTGATTCAAGTGTTTGACCCCAACCGGCAACGGTCACATTGCCGCCGACTCGCGTGCCAGGGAAGTTTGGCGTTGGCAAGCAAATGGGAGAACGCGAATTGCTGTACTCAACATTGCCTGACAATCGCACGAGAGCAATGTCGTTCTGGTTGTTCGATGGATTGTCTCGTAAGTAATTCTCGTGCGTTGTGATTTCCTCGACGGCCAAATTGAGAACTGGATCGTTGCAATTTTGATCTCCAAACTCATCTACGATGCAGTCTGGATCCGTCTCAACATTGTATTCACCGATACGAATGTTGATCAGCCTCCCGACTTTGTCCACTTTGTCTCCGAGGATGCAATGAGCTGCTGTCACGACGTAGCGTCGGTTGATAAGAAATCCGCCGCATTCCGCAGTCCAAGATCCGTCACCTGCAAGAGTGGATTGCTGACAAACATGCCAATTGGCAAAGCATTCAGTACTTACGTCGTTCGTACTCCAGGAGAGCCAGCCATGGATATTCAGTGAGCTTCGTCTCTGATCCTCCGATGATCCTCGTGGAAGCGGGCTCAACTCCGCACTCGTCAATTATGTTTCCCACATTGTTGCTTGGCGATGAGAACTGCGTGGGATGATTTATGCTATTTGCGGTTTGTTCGCAGCAAACAAACTCCTTCTCATTGGGTCTCCTGCTGCACTGTGACCTCCTCAGGCTCAGTATGATGTCGTCAGTCAGCGGCGATCTTTGCAGCAGACGAAGAAGAGGCGCACAGTCGTATATCGAGACACACTCGCCTCTCGTTCCGACCGGAGTCCTGCACAGTCTCTGGCCATTTGCAGGGATTATTAGTAGGGAAATTGCTAGGACGATGCGAAGCAATGAGTTTCGAAGGTTCATCTTGCAGACCGCTGAAATTCAACCACGCGACTATTAATCATCAAATCGTGATCCATCAAGTGGCGTTCACATCTTCGTATTTTTCTTGGTTCAAAGATCTTTATTCAGAATGACTTATTGTAGGATCAAAATTCTGTAGGGTAACTGAACTGTGGGAAGCTTGTATTAGTCATCTTCACAAATCGATCGGAGAATCTTTATTCTCATTTTGTGGGTTTTATACAGAAACAATAAAAAGTCTATTTTTATTCGCATGGAAATTTCCATGATATTCAATCGACTTTACAAGTTAATCACCAAACACAAGAATGACATCCCAGAGTTCTTGTTTTTTTGACAGCAAACTTGTGAAACTACACACACTAATTTTTTCGAGAATGAAAAAGGAAAACAAAGCCACAAACCATGTGCCAAAGAACACAAATTAGCATTTGCAAATATTTTTAAAAGTACGCAACAGACACTGATAAATCCTACCTCAATTTGCGCACTTGATAATATGCATGTATTTACTAACTACACTAATCTAATGTCACTAGAATACACCTCAATATGGTTGTATCGTTGTTCGAAGTCGAGGAGCAACTGATTGAACTATGTGCAAAATTATTTAATTTTATACGAATAAAGAAAAGCACCCGGATCGAACAAGCAGACAAACACTATTGGCGTTTCTGCCAGTTGAATAACAACAATTTTGGTGGTGGTAAAGCACGTGAATATACAGTAAAGGTGTAGAAAGACTTGATCTTCATTTAGGCTGTTTTCTATGAAGAAACACAACATTTACTCTTCTTTCCTTCAACGACACATATAAAAAGCCGGTTTGAGGGTACACTTGAGAGATGCTTTGGAGTGTGTGAAAATATAGGTGAGGAAATGATAATAAAAAGTGGCCACACTGAAGGTTACTGTTGTATCACTAATAACTTTATATGCTCTTGACCATAACACAAATACAGGTGACATTTTTCTCTGTCTTATTGCACTTTTGAAGATGACTTTGAAGGCGTCGAGACCGCACTAATTCCACATGACAAAAGACTGTAGGAAATCTGTTCACTTCTCTTTTGGAATCCAATTAACTTCTTACTCCTGTTGGTGAACCATCTTTTGGGAAAACCGCGTATAAAACACATTTAATTTGTTAGAGCAATAAGTGTGTAGAGAACAATTAATACCCAGACAAATTCGGGATTTTCCGAAATGTCTGCACAAACTTTACTTACCATCTGAAGACATTTCTGGGATTTCCTTCTAGCAGAACAAAGATTTCAGTTTTTCTCGCGCACTTCTTTGTGGGTGAAAATTGCAGAGGGAATTGTGTGAAGGAGAATTTAAATTTTATCCATTCCATCTTTGAGAGTATGACCAGAATTTAATGCACAGAGAGAAAATTGCTGATAGTAGAAGAAGGGTTAAATGGGTGTATTTTCGGGTAGAAATTATTGCCTGTCTGATTAACAGCTCTGCTAATTAAAAAGGGTTGAATTCACCCTCAGGGACCATAAACTGCTGCAATTGAAATATTTTTCGGATCATATTACACTGTGAGATAAACTTTTTAATGGTGGTTGACGCACTCAGATGGACAGAAAAAAATAATGAGGCGCGCCGAGTGCTGAAAAAGGGGAAGAGCTTGTTGTGAGTAATTCACAATGCTGTGGTTGGAGCATTGGGGGCAACAGATGAGCAACAGAAACGCATAACTTTAGGCTCTTTGTCAATGTAAGGAAAAGCTCCACTTGTGGAGACTCTCGAGTTCGCGGCAAAAGCTCCATGGGATCGCATATGTCTCCGCATGGAGAAATATTCATTAAGTTCCAGCAGCGCGAGTGCTCAGGCAATCGAAAAGAGTAATTATCCTGAGCGATTTGCGACACCGCCACTCCTTGGGAGGCGGAAGACGTTTAATTCTGATTTATGTTAGTTGGAACTTTCCCTTCTTAATTATCCATTTGAAGAAGTGCCTTCCATGCGAGTGGGAAGTCATACTTTTCCACCCTCAGCATGTATTCTAAGTATGTGGACGCAGATAATGGTTTCAAACTTCACTTCCCCGCAGGAATTTCAGGGCACATGGGGTCCTCGAGGGCGGATCTTTGCAGCAATAAGAAATGATTAGAATTCAATCAATCTGAACTACACATAATCAAATATAAATCAAAATCTCGTTGGAAAGTGGGCGAAATGTAACCCTATATATATTAAACACATTATTCACGCAAGGGCGGATGTGGGGATGCTCTTGTCGTTGTCTGATGAATAAGGGATGTCACGCTTCAATACGATTTCATTAAAACACTCACTCTAATTATACATCTTTGAGCCATTCGCGTAATTATGGAGTGTCATAATTGAAATTGAGATGCGTTCCTCTCTTGGTCACTGGCACAGTATTTCACGTCAAGTTCAGAAGCACACGCAAAGGCGCTCTTTTCCTCTTACTGTTGAGCAGTCATCAGAGTGGAAGAAGTACTTTTTGCCATCTTCACTGGCAGTGACAGTGATCAGCGGAGCGTTTCATGGCTTAAAGTGAGTAATATCTCGATAATTCATATCAATTTCATAACGTTATTGCTCAAATTGATCTCCTCACTTTCAATTCTAGCCTCGCTACGTGAGTCGGAAAATGATCCTTTTTGTCCAATTCCATTGACCAACTGCGACACGTGTTGTTCGATTATCAGAGTTGAGATATTTGTGTTTATAGATTGGAAAATTAGGAAGTCAAGTATGCAAATGAAATTCTGTTCTATGTAATAAGAAAGATTTACAATAACTCTATTCTCTTCATTTATCTTCATCTCCAAAACACAAGTAGCTTTCAACTCTGTCACGCACATAATTCGTTTACATGGTCAAATGATGAGGGGAAGTTTTTTTCATTTTGTGTCTTCTTCGGTAATACTTTCTAGTATAAAACCTAAAGCCTTGGAAAAATCTCTTTAAACATCGAATCGCATATGTAAGATAATTCGGGTGAATTTAATATTCAAAATACCCCCAATTTCCATTCCACCCACGAGTCTTGATAGATTTGCGTGGTCAGGAAGTGAATGGATAATTCTGTGCAATAAATCGGCGAAAGGAGTGGATTTGAGGCAAAAATCACTGGCAGGAAATTAAAAAAGACGCCCAAACCTGAATTTATCGGACACGGAGGATATAAAAAGACATTACAATTTGATTTGTGATCCTTATTTGCTGGGTGGCAAGAATTGCAGGGCGATGAAGCGCCTCAGGGGTGAAATTGTATTGGACACACAGCGAAGGGGTGTGATTTACTCCCTGTGATGACTCACTCTTCGCTCCACTAATTTCACTTAACCCTCGTGGATGTCCTTAAGGACATTCTCTTTTTGCCTGACACCCAGGAAGGAGTGTTGGAAGTATGAAAATTATTGGGAAGTCTTGTGTCAGAATTTGAAGATTAATTTTTGATGTCAGGAAATATGGTCATTTCCTGCGGTTTCTGCCGCTCTAATAAATCACACTCACTCAGAACAAATGCTAACGATACGGAAAAATCTCCAAGATGAAAAAAAATCACCACGAATCTTGTTCAAATTCGAGCGGAGTTTTATTTCTGCACTTCCTCCGTGTTTTGCTGCAGAAACATAAGTTTCATCAAGGGAACATGTCGTAAAATTTAGGGGAAAATTTCGGGAGAATGAATGGAGGGAAATTGAGAAAAACTCCTTCGTGCCGAGTTAATTTGAAATCGAAAGTTTTACGACTGTCATAATTGTCGGTGAGGCATTTTATTGATGTCCATCACGCTAGATAAATTTCCGCACTAATTTTCTGTATATTTCGGGCAACGCAGGAAAATCACCGCCAAATAAAGGATAGGTCCAATCTTCTCGTCAGTAATTATATGTTTCGAGTCCCAAAATTGCCCCTCATACCCACATCATTTACATATGCATAAACTTGTGTCGAATTGAGCGACGAGTCAGCTCTGAAGACGCGAAATATTCGTTTCCATCTGGGGAGAAACACTGAATATTCCAAGATTTTGCTCGTGTCTTCGAGGAACTCGGTCAGTGGTTGTGTGCTTATTCAAATTTGATAGTCAAACATGTCGCTGTGTTTTTGTTTGTTGCAACCATAAACTTCTTCATGTGACATTTCACCATATCGCTGAAGGTTATAATTTTATTCCGCCACACATCATCATTTTCGTCAAGAGTCAAAACTTTGGAAAATTGCTATTAATTTTTTGTTGCTCATCTCTTCACATGAAAACCCATTTGCTTCCAATAGCTTTCTGCGGATTGTCCTTGTGGGCATTGTGTCGAGAAATAGAGTTTCTGATTGACTCTGTTCTCCAACTCACTTGGACGGGGTCACTTTTTTCCCAATCATAGCTTAAGTAGTGGCGAAAAAAAGGGGGAGGACTTTGTAATTAAATCCACACGAATTTTGAATTTAATTCCCTCCTCGCTATTAAATTACTCTTTGATCTTTTCCCATGGATAAAATCATGTGTGGTTTTTTCACTCTTCATCTCAAGAAATGTCTCTCTTTGGCGAAGAAAAAAATATTCCAAGTATTGAAATTGATTATTCAAAAATGCCACAATCGTTTTTCTATCAACATATGCGGCTCAGTGGGAAAATAATTTTCATAAAATTCTTCTGATGCCTCTTTCGGAAAAAAAATTAACCGATGAATTTGATCAGTTTTTTCCCTCTTAACCTAATTAGCGTACGAAATTATAGCTGTGCCACCACTTGAGTCAACCGGTGTGATTTATTAAAGGTATTTTATTGTTGAATGCCGAAAAATGTTATCTCAAATATCAGGCGAATTTCAGTTATTTCGAAAACAGGCTCGATTTTCATCTTCCTTGCCTTTCCCTTCTGTCGCCACTTTTTTGCCGCCACACAAGAGCCGTTCTTAAGGTCACCTAGAAAGAACATGGAAACTTCCTGGTAACATCATCTGCTGCTGTTCTACATTTTGCAAAGCACACACACAACAAGTCCTCCTTTTGTTCTTTTGCTCCTCACCAACTGCCGATACCATTCTGGCATTACATAATGCCCTCATCAGCTCTAATCTTCTCTTTTTTTCCTCCATCTCTCGCCATCCATCCATTTTTAATTTGATCTCTTATTCAGCGTGTGTGAGTTTTTCAGCATACTTAGTGGTTCTATGGGAGAATTGAGTAAATTACAGAGTAATTTTGTAACACATTTCCCTTTTTTTGCCACATACGAGAAACCAAAATATGCCAAAATAGCACTTAGATTTCTGCAGAAACTTCATGACAAGGGGAAGATAATATGCTCTTAATCTTTTCCTTGATCTTCCTCATGGAAGCTTTCTAGATTTTTGAGTTGCCACTAAACTCTAAATTTCTGATTCAGAGCCAAAATCGTGCAGAATGCGGTGTAAATAAACATTTTCCTAGTTCAAATTATATTATTTTCGAGGTTATGTTCGATTTCAACACAATTTGCAGTGTTTTTTGACATTAAAGGTATAGAATAGCAATGTTTATCGCACGAAAATGCCCAATTCTGCAAAAAATTAGCAATCTTGTCCACTTTAGCATAAGAATTACCTAGAAAAGGATTGTTTCTTTATACAATTCAAAAGAAATCCAAAGAATCGGGATGATAA